TCTTTGTGCACGTTTCTTTTTGGGAGGGAGTAGATGTTTCTTTGTTAGGAATTTCCAACAATTTTTTTCAGTGTTTTACTATAAAGACCTTTTAAAAAAAGCATTTTATTGGGTGCTTGTACAACTCTTATTACAATCCATATATCCATCCATTGTGTCAAGCACATTGGTACATTTGTTGCCATCATCATTCTCAGAACATTTTCTTTCTGCTTGAGCCCTTGGTATCAGCTCCTCATTTTTAACCCTTCCTCCCTCCCCAACCTTTGATAATTTATAAATTATTATTTTTTCATGTCTTACACTGTCCAATGCCTCTCTTCACTCACTTTTCTGTTGTCTGTTCCCCAGGAAGGGGGGGGGGGTTATATATAGATGATTGTGATCTGCTCCCCCCTTCTCCCACCTTCCCCTTCCCCTCCTAGTATTTCTATTCTCGTTACTGGTATTGAGGAGTTTTGAGGGGTTTATCTGTTCTGGATTCCCTGTTTCCAGCTCTGATCTGCACCAGTGTACATCCCCTGGTCTAGCCGGATTTGTAAGGTAGAATTGGGATCATGATAGTGGGAGGGGGGAGTGGGAAGCATTAAAGAACTAGAGGGAAGTTGTGTGTTTTCATTGGTGCTGTACTGCACCCTGGCTGGCTCGTTTCCTTCCTGTGATCCTTCTGTAAGGAGGATTGCCATCAGTTGCCTACAGATGGACTTTGGGTCTCCACTCTGCACTCCCCCTCATTCACAACGATATGATTTTTTTTTTTTTGATGCCTGATACCTGATCCTATCAACACACAGGTTGGTGTACTTCTTCCATGTGGGCTTTGTTGCTTCTCAGCTAGATGGCCACTTGTTTATCTTCAAGACCACAAATGCTGTATCTTTTGATAGCCGGGCACCATCAGCTTTCTTCACCACATTTTCTTATGCAGCCATTTGTCTTCAGCGATTGCGTCAGGAAGGTGAATATCACAGAATGCTGGATTATTAGAACAAAGTGTTTTTGCATTGAGGGAGTACTTGGGTAGATGCCCAATGTCCATCTGCTACCTTAATACTTAACATATAAATATAATTACATTGATTTATTTCCCTATCATTATATATAAATATATTTACATATATACATGTCTATATTTAGAGATCTATAAGTGTCCTTTGGCTCCTAGTTCTTTCCTCTTATTTCCTTTTACTTTCCTCTTGTCCCACTATCATGTTCTGCCTTCATTTGGTTTCAGTAATTTCTCTCAGTTATATTGCCTTTGATCAAGTCCCACCAGGCATCCTACGCCCTTCTCTTCATGGATTGGTTGACATACCCCTAACTTTCTCTCACTTCTCCTGTGTCCCGCTGGAACTGTTAGTCCTGTTGTTTTCTCCTCCAAATTGTTTATTCCGCCTATCTTACCTAGATGGACATGCACAGGCAATAAGTGCAAAAACCAGACAAAACAAAAAAAACCCCACAAAATAACAACAACAAAAAAGGAAAAGCCTATAAATAGTTCCAGGTCTGTTTGTGGACCTTTAGGAGTGTTTTCTGATGGAGTCTGATGGGGTGCCACGCTCTGGCACCAAAGTCTGCTTTTGGTATTTCCTGGGGACTTCATTGCTTTGCCCCCCTTGCTGCTCTGTTGCACATCCTTGGTGTTTCCACTCAGTGTGCTTAAACCCAGTTTTTTGATAGGTGCTCTCTGGCAAATGGCGTTGGTCTCCTCATATGCTATACTATGAAAGGGCTGTGAGATAGCATCTCGATCAAACATTAGGAAAGCAGGGAGGTCCCTATACCAAGTGGAGGCATGAGGGTTGAAGATGAATGTTCTGTGGTTTGGTCTCTGCTTTGTCTCGATAGTTGGAATAGGAGCATCTGGGTGCTGTGTAGATTCTCCCCTCCCCAAACAGGTCTCCCCATCTTCAGCTCTTGTGCCAACAGTGTAAGCTCCGCCCCTATCCCCGAGTCAGGCTGCCAGGGGAAGGTATTTCTGGAGCATTTCCTGGTCTTTGTTTTCCTACCCTTTGATGAAAGTGGCAGCTGAGTGAAATGATGGTCTTGGTCATGAGTACGATCGATGCAGGCAGAGGCAGCTAGAAAGCACTTTAATTTTCCTGCTTCCATTTGGATTGACTTCCCCAGAGCCCAGTGAATGGAGCCAAAGAATAACTAAGCAGGTATTTTGCTTTTGTAAATGTAGGTAAATGTAATTGAGGCTGGTGGGAAGAATAGGTACCTTCATGTGGGGGAAACTTACAACATGTGCATGCGCACCAGGAAGCCACTTGTTTAATATCTCCATCTCTCACCTTTTCGTTTGTGACATCAGCCCTCATAATCGATTGCATTTCCAGGTAATTGCCTGTGAAGGCTTTTTAATTGAATTAACTGTTAATGTTATGGAGTCTTCGATGTCCTTAGCTTGCTATTATTTATCAATTTCTTTCCTGCTTTGAAAACCACTTACTCTCACTTGAATGACTCAAAGCTGAAGTTGGGAACTAATTCCAGAAGCAATTCATTTTGGTAGTGTTCTCCATTAGAGACCCATCTGGGACCAAATATGAAACTTTCTTGATGTCCCTCGGTCTGTGTCTACTCGCTTTTAATGACTAGATTTTAGTCTGTGGAAGTAGCTTTAGTTTGAGCACCTGAAGCTTTTCATAGTTAGTTTTCTGTGGTTTAATCACATGTGAACCATGAGTACAAAACTCAGCAGGCCTTTTCTCAGGGTCCCATCCAGTCTTGGGACATAGAGCGGACAAGATGCATGGCCACAGGACACACCACACTGCTTGAAGGTTAACTTTGTTCTGAAGTTTTTTCTTGACCTTTCTTCCCTTCCATTGCTGCCTCTAGAATCCGTTCCAGGAAGCTTCAAGAAAGCACCCAGATTAAGTCCTTTAAATGTCCAACTTCCTAGACATCTGATAAGACTTATTTTAGTGACTATTATATTGGCCAGGTTTTGGATCACCAGGAATCGAAGAGTTACTTGGAAGAAAGGATTCAAAACAACCACTTTTCTCCAACTATCCTGGACACTTGCTTTAACCCAAGATATTTATTCCCTGATGGTCTCCTTTCCCAGGGACATTAAGACTAAGGCCTGCCATAGAACATTGCTTTTCATCTTTTATCTTAGTATAAAAGTAGGGGGCTGCTCTTGCTGCTACCACCATCCTAAGCCAGAATTTAGAATCTGGGTTAACCTCATTCAGTCTGGATGAGGTCACACTGATTCTTGAGGATGAAACTTCGGATGAAGAGCACTCAGCAACCTTATGTCCATGGCCAAACCCAGTCTGTGTTGCAGTGTGACATCACATAGCCATTTGTCATTTTCTTCTTTTCCCCAAAAGTTTGTGGCAATTTTCCCAAACATCGCATTTGGTTTAGCATCTTACAGCGTGTGTGTGTGTGTGTGTGTGTGTGTGTGTGTGTGTGTGTGTGTGTGTGTGCACATACACATGTATGTATGTAAGTCTGTATATGTCTGTGTGTCTTTTTATGTATGTATATCCAATTATTCTGTATTAAAAGGATGGTTAAGACCCAAAGATTGAAAAACAGCAGCTTCGTAGGTGCAAGCTTGGTAAATAGGTGTAGTCAGTGACAGGTGGGGGCTAGCCAATGTAGAATGTACCGGCATACAGTTGGACGAGACTTTGAGGACCCTCCCGGAGCCTGGTGCTTACTTGAGGCACACGGGGTAGTCATCCAAATCGCACAGCATTTCACTGTTTCTGAGCAAAGGGCCCTGCTTGGGGCTTCCTATTTGAAAGGGTGTATGTGTGCATTTCAGTTGAGCCCTGTACCATGAAGACACCTTATTCAGTAGACTTGCACTTTGTAACAAAGACAGGTACCCTTTTTATTCATAGGGTAGTCATTAACGAGCGTGGAGCGTGTGTCATGATTAAGTTAAAGGTTGGCTTTGGGCATTAGGGCCTAAGTAAACTTCAACCCATCTAATTAAAACATGAAGTCTGTCTGTCTAGTGATAAGGTGCGTTCAGTGAATAGTCATTCCTAGTAATCACAAGTCTGTAAGCAGACTGTCTGCTCTGTCTGGACAGTTGGTAAATGATTATGCTCTAGGTATCTCCTTAGAAGACGGTGCCTATAATTTAAAATTATGGAACTGGTGGCCTGCGGTGACCTTCTCTTGACTTTGTAATGTGTTTCCATCAAGACATTTATGTTGGACTCTGGTACTGCTGACCACACTGAACATCAGGCTGATTTTCTCGGCTTGGTTGCACACCACCATCCACTGCTGTGTAGACTGATCCAGCAAAATGTAAAACAGCTCTAAGACACTTTCTCTAGACTTGAAGCCAGGGTTCTTTAATTCTGGCTCTTTGGACAAAATCTTCAGATGTACAACTACATCCCTCTTTCTTGACTTCAGCTAGTAAGACTTGTTGACTTTAAAACACATAAGTCTGGGGAAATGAAAGGCGGCCATCCCCAAATAAGAAACAAAACAAAATAACCTCTTGTTCTCACAGAACCTGTGAGAGTAGACCTCATCCCCCAGTGAGGCATCCACCCGCAAAGACGGGGTCTGGGGAGGGGTGGGGGTTGCAGTAAGATGGAAACAGCTTCGCCATCAGCCGGGCTACTGAAGAGGTTTCTGTGGACTTGGAAGGTCAGATGGAGGATGAAGACTGGCGTGAAGATGGTTTACTAGTAGTTAAGCCAGTAGAGTTGGCATCTTCGACTTTTCTGTCTGGGTGATGAAGGAAGCTGTTCTTCAAATGCTCAGCTATGTGCGCTCATTATAGAACGTGTGACTGGTTGTGAAATTCTTTGAATAGTTTAAAGGTGCAACTTGACAAGTCAATGGATGCTTTAATTCTTGTTTAAATGTGGGAAAGATAAAAAACACTGTATTTTGTTGCCTTTTTAAAAAAACACGGGTAAATATTTAGAAGACGTATTTGCCTCTTAGTGGGAAAGCAGCTCCTATTCTGAATAGTGTTTTCATGAGTCATGTTTTCTCAGGATTTAAAGAAGGTGGCAAGAGGAAGAAGCAGAAGCAGAGAGACGAGCAGAAGAAGAAGAAGTCGACCAAAGGGAATCACTAGCCTGGACTAACCAGACACGCACACTGTTCACCAGGGCTCACGCATGCCACAGTGGAGCATAGGCCTGTGTTGTGTGTGTTCTGGTTTTACACACTTGCTAGGTAGATGACATCTTGTTGGACGCTCTACCAAGATGACACCTGTTTGTGACAGGGCTATGGACATTTGGTCACTGTGTAGTCAGATTAGGGAGGCCAGAGGTGAGGTGATGCTAATGGTTAGCAATGATAACCATTTTGGAACATACATTAGACTTTCTTCCTTTGCTTTTCCCCAGCACCAAACCCATTAGTGTGGGTTAAGAATCTAATTCATTTTGGCCAAGTGTCTTAGTATTTCTTTCGCTATTCAACCACTACCAAAATATTGTTAGTTTTAGATAAACAATAAAGCTGATACTAAATATGTAACTAGGAGATGATTTTTAACACACACCACTACCACCACCCCAAATGCCAATAAAGATTTGAAATTAGAATACCACGATGTATAGGATGCATTAAAGGTACTATGCGTTGCACATTGAATCATGAATGTCGGGGTACCTTTTCTTAGGCTAGCCAGAACATGCTGAATTCTTCAAAGCAACCTGGATGTATACATGGTAGGCCTGCAGTGAATCACTTCTGATGTAGAACCATTCCTTATATTTATTTAATTTTCATCCTATCCAAATAGTCCAAAATCTCTTTCATATATTTTGAAATTTTGCTAAATCCTATCTTTTTTTTTTAGGCTCACAATTGTTCTTTCTAGCATGTCCACAGGGTTCTGCAAATGTTTGCTCTTCAGTACCATCTCTTGCTCATGTAACTTAGGGTCATGATGGGGGGAAATGCGTGCTACATTAAACTTGCATGAGTACATGTATACATGTGCAATCACATGCACCTAATTAGATACTTAGCAATTAATTAGGTTGGGCTAAATATTTCAGCTTGCAAACATTGGACCCTTTTGTGGAGCGGGGGGTGTGTGTGTGTGTGTAATTTCGTTTTAGCAAGATTTTCCCTGGCTTCCTGTACTTTTTCATTTGCATGATAATGCTGCGTAACCTCTTATTTTGAAGTACTGAATAGAATTCTGTATTTCCTTAACTTTCATGCATGTTGCTCTTCAGTAGCTTTTTCTCTCCTTTATAACATAGCTATGTTGTCCATATTGCTTTTGTTGTTGTCATAGAAATGAGAACATTGCTAAAAGTTTGGGTGGGATTTTAAAATGCCAGTGATTTTAATGTAACAATGTTGAAATCCAGGAATATTTGGTACCACGTTGCAGTGCCATGGGCTTGGAGGCCAGAATCCAGTGGATCTTTATGATTTTAAATAACTGTTACAGGAAAGTGTTTTGTTTGTTGAGTTTGGTGGGGAATTAGAGCAGACTGTTGGGGAAGAGTGTACTTGGTATTTCATGCTTACTGTGGAAAATGTAACCTTAAAAGGATAAAGTATTTTAAGTGCTACCTAAATAAAACTGTAAGCTTGACTTAGTTCACTTGCCATCATTTGTAAGTATCCGTAAGTTGCATTGTATTTATAATTAGAAATAAAAGCAGTTCTCCATCATTTTCAGTTATTCATACTTTCAGCGTTATTTGCAATTATGGAAGAAAAATGTAACATTTGAGGAACACAAGGCTAGATTCTGAGTTGCATACAATAAGAAGACAATGTTTTAATGTTAGCATTCCTACTGACTATGTGTTGTGTAAAATCAACAGTCTGTGATAATGGAAAACGAGAAATCAGAGGACTGTTCATTTTAGGCTCTTAGCTGGCTTTGGAGGGTGGTCCTGACAAGAGTAAACACGTTTATTGTTATGTCAAGAAGCCATGACTTTCCTAGTCACGAAGGGTTTTGATAAATTATTCCTGGGAGTTAAAAGCATCTGCTTAGTAACAGACCCCCCACAGATGACTCTCAGAGGCATTTTTGGTTTGGGGATTTTTGAAAGATTGTTGAACTCAGCTGCTCAGATGCCAGAATCTGAATGTTCAGGGTAGAAGTTTGAAGACCTTTCAGAGTTCGTTGAACCTATAGCACTTTCTTTATCTCATCCTCATTCACATCACATCACACGCAGGAGTGTCCTGGGCTGCCTGCATAGGGGGGAGGGTTACAATGTTTATTGAATGTCATTGGAGCCCTTTAGTGACTTTAAAACATGCAAAGCCATGCACATAACAAACCAATGCCTGCGAGAGCCCATGTGTCTTCATGTACTGCACACTGACCATGCCTTGAGGGGGTTGTGTCGCTTCTCAGTATCTTCTTTTAAAGCCCCTCCTCAATCAGGTTCTCAAACTGAATTTACAGTGATGTGGGAATTCCAGTGGCCCCCTAGAAGGAGAAGGTACTGACCTCTCTTGAGTACCCATTGTTAACAGGTTAACAAGGTAGGTACCAGAATCTTACAGGTAAAGAAATACAAGTTTTATAGCTACCCAGTAGAGGAGCAGAATTGAAATCTAGAGCTGCCTGTCACTGGAGCTCCTCTGCCACACTGTCATGGGTTTGGGGATGGAGCTGCGCTCCACATTTCTGAGTGTTTGATCCAGGGAATTTCTTGCACATGCACGTGTTTCTGTTTACACCAGCAGCTATAACTTCCAATGTGATAAGCAGGTGTGAATTCCAAATTCAAATTCTCTCAAAAAAAAAACAACCCCCTCACAGCTGTCACATGGTGACTTTATAGGATAGAACAGAACTGCCCCTGTGGGTTTTTGACACAATAAATCTTTAAGGGAATAGAGCGCTACATCCTTTCTCCTGTGGTAGCTTTGAACTACTGACCTTGAACCTCATTTGGGTCTCCTTTCAGCCCTCACAGAGCACTGGTCTTAGAGAACAGGTAACATCAGTTCCAGACATTCATCATAAAAAGTGGTTTTCATTTTCTTCAGCATGATTTATTTTTGTCACATAATGCCACTAAACAAGTGCCATCTTCAGTGGGAAACTGTCATCACTGATGTCTCCAGCTGGTGCATGCCACTTCTCCACGTCTGATGTCTTTCAGTGGGTTTGCTGTGCGCCGGAAGCTCCTTGTTTAATATACACAAAGCCCAGAGAACCCTTTCCTCCAGAAGTGAGGGGGTGCGGACAAGGTTCCCAGGACCTGTAAGTCACACTCAATGCTCCCTCAGCAGTTGTGGCTGGTCCTGGGCAGTCCCCAGGTGATGATGACCTCTCACCTTGACCTTGTAAGCTACAAACTCCAGTGAGATAAACAGTCCGAGTGACATGGAGAAACCAGGCGTACTGACCAAGGCGGCTCTCCCCATTGCCCTGGTGATCACTGGAGGGTTTCCCTTACCACCTCTCCATCTGTAAAAGAGTAGAGAATAGAATGAATCTCACAGAGGCCCTGATGATGCAGTGGGTTAAGCCTTTGGCTGCTAAGATGTGACACTGCTTCCCTGAAGGTCAGATCCTTGGGGTAGTTCTGTTCTCTAGCGTTGCTCTGAGTTCCCCACCTTCCATCCAGCCTTCCCGACCAATTCTGATGCCAGTGGTGTCCAGAGAATGCCCTACTTCTCATCTTACTTTGAGGACTTAACTGCTGTGGCCACATAGACAATATAATTATGTAGTTTATCGGGTAAGTTAACGGGTTACAATTCAAGATCAGAAATGCCCAGGGCACAGTTGGTCCAATCCTGTCAGTGCCTTCAAATCCTCAGCCACTCAACTTGGCCTCTGTCTTGCCTGAGCATTGTCAGAGCTTTTTTAGTCAGGCTGATACATGCCCAAAGGGAGTGCACCACGCCCATAAGCCACAGCCTGAAGGGACCGAGCTCCCCAATGAAGCTTTTGGCAGTACCCCGTTCTGCAAGCTAGCCACCTGCCTGAAGAAAACTCGGCTACGCGCCACTCTTACCTTGTGATCTGGTTTTTGATTCTGCTGCCGCCTGGCCTCGGGGGGGCCCTTGATTTCTGGCCGGGATGAGGAGGCTCAATATGCAGGTAACTCAGGGTCCACAGAACACACTTGACTTGGCTCCTCCTGTTAGTGACGTCCCCACTCCTGCTGCTGAGATGCCCTGGTTCACACTCAGCATGATGCAACCTTGACCAGGTCTCAGGTGTTTGCAATCACAATGAGCTCTGATACAGTCGACCTCTGCGCCACCCCCCGCCCCCGTATCTCTTACCTAAACCCACTAGGGAAAAGCCTTAGAACATTCACTGGGGCCCAGGAACAGATGGATGGTGGATTGGAACTGGCCACCTTTTAGCGACCTATTGCTTAAGCACTGCTCCATCATAACTACCAGCAACCCTAAACCAAACTCATTGCCGTTGAGTCGATATTGATTCATAGTGAACCAATAGGCCAAGGTAGAACTGCCATGTGAGGCTCCAAGACTCATTTGTTCGTAGGAGTGGGAAGACCCCTTTTCTTCTCCCATGGAGCAGCTGGTGGTTTCAAACTGCTAATCTTGCAGGTCACAGCCCAACTCAGAACCACGACACCACCTGGGCCCTTTAATGATTACAGGGGCATTTTTATAAAAAAACATCTGCTGAAACACCACAGAAGTTACACAGACATTTTTGGTAGAGTCCCTGCTGGTGCCACTCCGTGCAGTCTGCACGCCACTGGTGACGACACTGCAGAGCCCAGGACAGCTTAGTGGAACGTGGTTGTCCTCAGGATAGAAGACAGCAGGAGATCCAAGGATAGCAGGGCAGCCTGGGCATCAAGGACTGAGGCAGCACTTACGAGAGACAAATGAGGTACCTAAGCAGAGAAAACTGCCATTTGATATGTAGAAGAGCTTCGTAGGTGGGGAAAAACACACCAAAAAAACCCTAGAAATTGAAGACTGCACTTGGATGCATGGGACTGTGTGGAGGATGAAAGAGGGGAGTTAGGATCTGGGGCCAGAGAATAGTTCAAGGGGCCACGGGTGTGAGGGTTGAGACTGGGCCCTGTGGATGCTGCTGTTAGCTTGATTGTCAATGGAAAGTTACTTGGGTGGACCGCAGTGAGTCCCCCTCCCACCCAGTCTGGTTAGTTTCCTAGCTTAGGGTGAGTTGAGTCCAAGTAAGGATCTCTGGAAAAAACACTTTCTACACACTTAATTCTCCATTGATCACAGTCTTTAAGTTGTGCGACCATTCTTGCTATCTTATTCCAACTTTGTCCACGACTGTTAAATATAAACTCACTGCCTCCCGAACAAAAACTCAACAATTTAAAAAAGAAGAGGCCTGAAAGCTGGGGCTCAGCCCTGAGCTGTGCATTCAGCTCCCTTTTGGAGGAGAACTTGTCCACTCCTTTAGTTTCTAGCATAGGTCCTCAAGGGACTGAGGCCCTGCCCTAAGAGACTGCCCCAAAGTCCTCGTTCTAGGAACTTCTAGTCCCTGGCCAAGTCCTTCAGGTATCTCTGGGTAGACTGAGGAAGGCCAGGGGGCTGGAACAAGGACAAAGCTATGACTCCATCCCTTTTGTCACGGTGGTTACTTCTTGAGGAGAGAGGGTCCCCCATTTGTGTTTCAGCTCCCATGTCTCAGTTTCCTCCAGAATGAGCATAAGCAATCTCAACCTCTGGGTCTGCCTACCTGAACTTCCACCCAGCTAATAAGGAACCACTTGGCCTTGACCATATTTCCTCAGAGTCCTGCTGCGAGGGCCGTTACTAAGTGAATTCAGGTGCCTGCCTGGTCCAAGCACTCGATTCCAGGGTATAACTTGGTATAACTCCGGTGGATGACTCGCCTTTTGCCACCCGAGGCTCATCCCTTTCCATGCAGTGGTTTGGTGTTTGCTCAGCACTCTTCCAGGATGCCTGTTGTCACGATTTACCCCGGGGAAGTCGCTGGACGTTAGGAGCTTCTGCGGCCAAAGCTAAGGTCAAGTTGTGCTAGGTATCCCACAGTAGACGTTAGAGTCTGCATTGCTTCAGCTCCCGGGCCAGTCTCAACCCATGGGGCTCGAGGAGTGAACTTTTCAGGAAATGAGGTCCACCATCCCATCCTGCCCTCCTAGGCCAGTTGAGTGCCTGCTACCTCTCCAGAGGGTGTCGTGTGAGTGCGGGGGACTTAGGGTCAGAGGAGACAGCTGCATTTCCTTTGCAAGGACAAGGACTGGGCTCTAGTCACTAGGGTTTCTGAAACCCATTGCTGCTGGCTAGACACTGCAGAGTAGGAAACACCACATGATCATGGAACTAGTCTAGTGACTGGGCTGAGTTGCCTCTACGTGCCCTGCCCTCCTGAGACGTGGGGTGGGGCACGAGAGACTAAAACTAAAGCTATCTCATGCTTACCTTTCAGTTCGGTAGCACGCCTGACGCCATAGACCTGGTGGCCAAGCGGAATTTAGTGGACTGGCCCAGGAAGTAGGGCAAGGCAGGGGCTACCCATCTTGGTATAACTTGAGAAGAACCAAGATCATTGAGCTCTAGTCTCTTAAAGACCTCAGGAGCCCTACTGACGCTGTCAGGTAAGTATGAGACTGAGCAGCCACTCAGAAGGAGACGGTCTGCTCCCTGTAAAGATCGACAGCCCTGGAAAACCTATGGGTCTCTGAGTTGGGATAGTCCTGAAGGTTCTA